CGCCCCACCGGAGGGGGGGGGGTTTGAGTGCGGGGCGGGCGGGCCCGCGGGGAGCTCCGCCCGGGCCTGACGACTGCCGCACAGACCGGGGGCCGGGGGGCGTCAGGGAGTATTTGTGCGAGGAATTGGACAGTCCCTCACTTTTACCCAGAGAACTCCTACTCATCCTTCAAAACATCACACACGCACACAACCCCGCCGTACTGCCCCGGGCGCCTCTGCCTCTCCAGCTCCTAGACCGGCCCCGGAACCTCGGCTGCGGGCCGCACAGCGGTCGGCAGGAGGCTGCGCGTGGCGGGCCGCGCACGCGCGTGTGCGTGCAGGGCTCCCACGCAGACCTGGGGCGGAAGGTATCAGACCGGCGCCGGGAAACCGGAAGTCCGGGGCTCGGCTTGCCCGGAGGGGGCCGAGCCGCGGCTCTGTCCCGCTGGGGTCTCCGCCTCGTTTCCGCAGGACTGGCGAGGGACAGCGGGGCTCCGCCCCCGACGGGGCGGGGCCGGAGGGCGCACGCACCGGCCGCCAGCGCGCATGCCCGGAGTCCCGGACCCCACCCGACACCAAGTCCTTCATCAGAGATGCAAAAAACCCGACTCCGCCCGGCGCTGGGTCCCGGACCGCGCAGGGGGCGGGGCGTCCGCGCTCGAGGGGCGGGGCCCGATGGGCTGGGGCGCGGTGGGCGGGGCGTCCGCGCCGGCCCCGCCCCTCCGCCGCCAGACGTCAGGATCGTTCAGGACCAAAGTCGCCACCCCCGACGCTTTCTCTTCGCCTTTTCTAGAGATCGAGTTGACACTGTCGAGCCAGGCCCCGCCCCGCCCCGCCCCCCGCGGGGCGCCCCTCCCGACGTAGCATGTAATCCCCGTGAGCACACGCTCTGTAACCGACGCTCCGACGGCGCCCGGAAGTCACGAATGCATGGTGTGGAGATGTTTTGCACTGCTCCGACTCCGTTCTCTGAGGATATTTTACTAACGGCAGACATTAAAAAAAGAAAACAATGTAGGAAAAGACAAGAGCGCGGCGGGGACCGCGGGGCCGGGAGGGCGCTCGAGGGCCGGAGTTCGAACCCCGGGCCTGCGTGGAGGGCGGGGCCCAGGCGCCAGTCCCTGGGGCGAACCGCACCACGTGTCTGGGTCTGACGGCTGCTAATTGCCCGGCAATTAATCCTGCAATCCCCGTCCTGGCCGCGGGGCACCTGGGGTGAAAGCCCGGCGGACCCCTGGGGGCCGGGGTCGCCCCCACGCCGATCTCCGCCCTCGGGCGGGGCCGTGGACCCTGAGCCGCACCCCAGGGGCCTTGTTTTGGGGGCGATCGTGGACGTCACTGAGGCCGGTGACCCCTGGCTGGAAGGGGATTCCCGGAGCTGTGGACGGGAACGCGGCGCCTGAGAAGGGCTGCGTGTTCTAATCCCGCCCGCGGAGCACACGCGGTCAGTCGGTGGATAGGCGGCACGGAGTCCACACGCGTGCGCACGCGCGGCGTCCCTGCCCGGGCGCCGCCCCCCGCAGGGCCCCGGCCTGGCACGGGGGGGGGGGGGGGGGGGGGGGGGCGAGGAACGACTCGCACAACCCACCGGGAACATTTAATGACAAGTCACGCACTAGCCCCGGGCGCTGGAGGACAGCGGGCCGGCTCCTGCCGGGAGGGTCAGTTCCGGCCGGGGGCCGCTGTCCAAGGCGGACCCCGATCACAGGACCCCACTGTCCTGACAACAGGTGGAGACCGATGGCTCAGGAGGAGGCCGCCCCTGACCGGCCGGAAACCCAGCCCCGCCGGCGTCCTCCGCGGGGCCAGGCCCTGGTGATGCGCTCAGCGCTCCGGCGCACGGTCCGTGGGTTGTTGCTGGCCGTCGCCGCGCCCCGCTCTGGCCGTGGGGACGGAGGGCATCGGGGGCGCGGGGCTCGGCGCATCTCACGGCGTGAGCCCGAGCGCCGGCTGCCCACGCAGCGTTCCCCGAGCCCCGCACGCGGTGGGCACTCAATAAATACTTGGGTGAAGAACCACGAGCGCGTGGCGCGGCTCAGAGCTCGTCCCGCGCCGCGCTGTCCAGCGGGGACTGCAGCACGTCCGAGTTCTCGGCCTCGCGGCTCAGCGCCTGCTGCTCCCGCATCTTCTGGGACTTGGCGCGGTCCCAGTCGGTCTGGACGCCCTCGTTGTCCCACACCACCGACGTCTCCGTGTCGCTCACGTAGCCGTCGTCCCCCGTGTAGTGCGTGGGGAAGAGCAAGAGTGGCTCCACCGAAAAGGCGCGCAGGTCCCGCGGGGAGAAGTGGGCCTTGTACTCGGACCTGCGGGGTGCGGCAAGGAGGGGCGCGGGGCTCGGTGCGGGGTCCGGGCCCGGGCCTCGGGGTGGCGGGAAGGGCCCCCTACGCCCCCCAACCTCCCCCCCGCCCCTTACACCGGGTGCTTGTCGAACATGACGGGTAGGAACTCGTCCACGGGCAGCATCTTGGCCAGCGGCCGCGCGGCCAGCAGCTTGCGTGCGCCCCGCAGGGAAAGGGCGTAGCCCAGCGTCCAGTACGAGTAGTCAGCCTCCACCAGGTTCCGCACACGAGGCACCGCCTTCTCGGGGTGCTCCACCTGCATCCGCTTCCGGCCCACGTAGCTGGGGGCAGAGGGGGCCGTCACCCCCGCCCGCCTGCCGGGGAACGCGCGAGACCCACCCCCGCCCCTGCCCCAAACCAGGGGCTCGCAGGGCCGGGGAGCGGGCAGGACCCCCGAGGACCAGAGGGCGCAGCAGGCCTGGAGTGGGGAACGAGGCCCCCACGGCGGCGGAGAGGGCAACGTCCTGGCCTGGGAAGCCCCGCCCAGGACACACCCACCAGCTCACAACCCAGTCCAGGTCGCCTATTCCCGAGCCCCGCCCACCCACATGGCCACACCCCCAACACTGGCCTCGCCCAGAACCACTCATCCCAGTCCAGGTAGCCTGTTCCCTGGTCTGGCCCCGCCCACGACACACCCCCTAGCACTGGCCACTCCCTCTCCATGACCACTCCCCCTTGGTCACGGCCCAGTCCTGGCCTCGTTTCCTGGCCCCACCTATGGCCCCACCCCTTAGATTTTCCCCACCCTATCCACAACCACAATCGCCCTTGGCCTCGCCCTAGCCCCCCACTCACATCCCGTTTCCTGGCCCCGCCCCAGCACATGGCCACACCCCTAGCACTGGCCTTGCCCTGCCCTGGCCCCGCCCCGCCCCGCCCCGGCCCCGCCCGCTCACATGAGGTCCCAGTCCAGGCCCTCGCGCTCCACATCCTCCATGAGGTTCATCAGGCGTCTCTTGAAGAAGATCTCGAAGCGCAGGTCGTCCTCAAACACGAGGGACTTCTGCAGCCCCCGGTCCACAACCTGAGGAAAGGGTTCGAGGCCGGCCGGGCCCTGAGGCCAGGGCCGCGGAGAACCCGAGACCAGAGCCCCCGGACCCCGGCAGAGCCCCCCAGAGCCCCGGGCCCCACCTCCTTCCAGATGCCGTAGTGGCTGAGGAAGCAGCCCAGCTCGCCCTTGGTCAGCGGCCGCCCGTGGTAGGGGTCACGGTAGCCGGGCAGCATCTGGATGCCCAGCGCCTCCACCTGGCTGGTGTTCATGGCTCTGGGCGGGAGGGAGAGGGGGTGGGGGACGGAGGGGGAGGGGAGGAGGGGGAGGAATCAGGAAGACGCCCCCAGCCCTCACCCTGCGGGCTGCCCCCCGCCCCCGTCCCGCGCTCACTTGCCGTCCACCGCGTCCACCAGGCGGCAGGCGATCTCCTGCTCCTCCAGCGCCCGCAGCATGCGCGTCCGCCGGTCCTGACGCCGCTGCAGGTTGATCAGGAACACCTGGCGCGCACGCCCGGCCGGTCAGGACGCGCGCGGCCCGGCCCCAGCCCGACCCCGGCCCTCCCCCCTCCCGAACCCGGCCCACCTCGTCGAAACCCATCTTGTCGGGGGTCCTGGTGGGTGCAGAGATGAAGCGCGAGTAGGCCACAGGCGGGTGCTTCACTGGGGGGCAGAGGAATCCGGGGGCCTGGGTTGGGGACTCCGGGTCTCCACGCCAGGGCGGCCTGCCTGCGGACCTCACCCCACCCATTCTGGCCCCGGTGCCCCTGGTCATGCAGGGCTGGGGGGGACGCAGACCCTCTAGACTGGGTCAGGCAGCTCTTGGCTTCCGCGCGGGTCCCCAGCCCGGCCTGGCCCCCTTCTGTCCCATGAGCCCCTGGGGAGGACACGGGTCAGGTGGCTCACCTGTCCCCCGGGGCCCAGCACAGGGCTGGTCTGGGCCCGCGTGGGGCTCCTGGGCGGAGGACCCGACCCAACCGGGACCTCGCCCGTAAAGCGGCTGGGGGACAGCGGTCCTCGGACGGCTGTGTGCCCCGGGCGCCTCCCACAGGCGTGGGGCCACGCCCCCTCAGCCGGGGTGGGGGGACGCACCACGCTGTCAGGGGCTATGCAAATGAGCCGTCTATGCAAAACGGGAGGGGCTATGCAAATATGCTGCGACTATGCAAATGAGCAGTGGCAGCCGGTGGGAGGCTTTGCAGACGCTCAGGCCCCCAGGCCTCGATCCCGGCCGGGCCTCGATCCCGGCCGGGCCTCGATCCCGGCCGGGCCTCGATCCCGGCCGCCTCCGCCGGGAAGCCCGCCCCGGCTTCCCCGCCAGCCAGCGCGCCACACGCAAACCCCGGGCCCAGGAGGCGGAGGGGCACAACTCACCCATGACCTCCAGCTGCGTGTGCAGGAAGCTCTCGGCCTCGTCCCGCAGAGTGCTGTGGGCGCGCAGCGGCACGGGCAGGAAGCCGAACACCTCCCTGTTGCACACGTACATCTGCACCTCTGCCGGGAGGGAGGCGTGTCAGGCCGGCCACGGGGGCCGAGGCGCCCCGCTGGCCGCTCAGTGAGGACCCTCCAGCCAGCCGGCCGGAAAGCGGGCGGAGCAGAGCCGCCCTGGGGCCGGGGTCTCCCCTCCGCGCGGCCCTGCTTGGCGGGCGGCTCCTCCGCGCGGTCCGTGGCGGGGTCTGAACCCTGGCCTGGGCGCTGCAGCTCAAGGCTGCGCCCTGCCACCTGCGCCACCGCGCCACTTCCGGCCTTTTCTGCTTCTGTGGTGCTGAGAACTCGAACCCAGGGCCTCACACATGAGAGGCAAGCACTCTACCAAGGAGCCACCTTCCCAGCCAGGATGAGACACCTCCCCTCCGGCGGGGCGCGGCCACGCTGAGGCCAGCCTCCGGCCTCCTGAGGCCAGCCTCCCGCCTCCGGCCTCCCGGCCAGCCTCCGGCCTCCCCGGCCAGCCTCTGGCCTCCCCAGGCCAGCCTCCGGCCTCCCCGGCCAGCCTCCGGCCTCCCCGGCCAGCCTCCGGCCTCCCCGTCCCCGGCCTCCCGCGGCCGAGGTTCAGTCCGGTCACAAAGCTTCAGCCGCTGTCAGCTACGAAGCGGAAGAGCCGCTTGCAGGACGGAAGCAGGCACAGAACCCCAACTTCTGCTTTGGGGTTCCACAGGGGGCACAGGGCACCTCGTTTCTCTTCAGGAAATGTCTTCCCCACTCGACTCCGAGTCGAGGTTTCACTTCCGTGGTTTCGCTATCCGCTCCGACAATACTGGATGGAAAACTCCAGAAACTTCCCAAAGTCCGTTATCCGCCTTGTGAGACCCGAGGGGAGGCGAGGCCTGCCCGGCCCTGCGCCCTGGCTCGGAACACCGGTGTGTGCGGTGCGGCCGCGCCATGCGGGCCCCGGG